ACAATTGCTCTGTACCCTTCTGTCACCATCCCTGAGGAATGTTGAAACCATATTTTCCAACACAGTATCAGTCTTGTTCCTCAGGGTTTCACCTCTGACCTGGTCTTGGAGAAAGTGAATGTGGTAGTCATCATAAAATTAAATAGGAAGAAATCATGGCCTGCTATAAGAAAAAATTGCCAGTTCATTAGTAATAATCATTAGTGTTTATAATGAGGAATATTTAACTCATTCATATCCATAGGCATACTTGCATGCTGTCTCTTACTTGGTCATGTTCGCTGCAAGTATACTGGCATACAAAATAATGGTTTTATAGTAGACTCAGTAAACATTGTCAGGACCATGCTTGTCACAGAGGTTTCAAACTGTTTCATCTAATAGTGAAACCTGTCTGTTATCAGTGTTTAACCAAATAAGGTCTGAAGATAATGCTCATCTTGATGCTAGAGAATCATTATTTAAACTCTGAAAAGTACCATTTATCAGCCTTCATTTAAGCTAAAGCATGCTGCAGTTGGCATGTATCACAGTAGAATGCAATACTGTTAAACCAACCCTGGAGTTACAATGCAGCTGGGAGCCCTCATGTATGGGGATTTAAAGTCCGTATTCCTATAACAAAGATCACTTTTGATGCAAGCTTAAGCTGACAGAAACAGAGCGATTGTCAGTCTTATGCAAATACAAAGCTGCTCTGGCAGGTGTTCGAGTTGAGTGTCACATCAGGAGTGTGTGTCCCCTATAGAACATATAATATGTGCCTTAAATGCAGAGATGTAATTTGTGCTGCTTGGACATTGTAGAATTATTCCATTATGTATTTTACATCAACTGGGCTTTGGGGTCAGTTAGTATGAAAGTAAAAATTCTGTAGTGTCAAGCACCATGCTATGGAGATTAAGCTGTGTATTTTTAACCTTGGTACTGATTGGTCAGGTTCACACCCTGACTGCTTTTTGCTCAGAGGAAAGAATCCCAGACATGTTAGGATGCTGAAAAAGTCTTACTCTTAACAGGGAACAAACCCTGTATGCAAACCTTATAGTGACTGATTTCCTCTTATGTTCACAATCTGATATTTTAAAGTAATGTTATATGTGTGAAATATTTTAGTTCACTATAGTCTATAATGTAAATACAATAGAACTGTGTTCTGCTGAGATCCATCTCCAGTCTAATATTGTTCACAACTACAATATTGTGAACAGCTGTAAGTTTCCCAGCTGGTGAGTGCATACCTTTTTATTGAAGTTGTAATGTGGTTTACAAGCACTTCAATTCTAACTGACCATTCAGATAAATGGCTAGATTCTTTCAAATCAAGCTGGCATTTTGTTCAAGTCTAATTAATCGTCCCAAACAAAATTTGTGCAGGTAGTTTTTTGGAATTACAGTGCAAAGTTAAAATACATTTCAGGGTTGTGCCTTTGTAAATACTCAAAAGTACTGTGCGTAACAAAATTATAGCATAACTGTCACTTTTAAATTTCCATTTTGTGATAACTTTTGATTTTCGTTTCCCGCCATAGGCAGTTTTCGAATCTAGATTTTATCATGTGCGTGTAAGGCTGTTAATTCAACTAACGTTTTGTTAGGGATTCAGATTTCCTGCATACGGGGAAAATATGTTTTATCAACGGTCATTTTCGCAAAATTGTTTAATAAATCAATTCTGTTCTTTTCAAGGCTACAATCTGCATTTTCACGGCAGCGAGAACCACAAATCTCAGTACTTTCTACATTTTTCCTATTGATGTAAGAATATTCTCCTCGTAATGTTGCCCACCTTGGTCGAGCCGCGTTTGTCTGCGCAGTTGACCAGAGTCAATGGATTCTTCTGATTTTGGGCATAGAAGAAATTTTCAAGAGGCATGTGTGTACGAAATGTTTTAAATTTCGCAGTAAGCGAAGAATTATTTACTCACCAATAAACACACGAATTAGGCATAAACACAAGTTTATCATTAAAGCGAATACCGTCACCATTTCAAGATATGGATTTTAATTTTTCAGGTAGGGATTTCGTGCTGCACCTGTCAGACTTTAGTTAAGTACCCTTCTGAATTCATAAACCAGATGAAGTTAAACTCATATGTGCCTTATTGAGTTGTTCAGTTATAATTTATTTGTAACATTACTGTGGATCAATTTTCGATTCTAGCAGGGTTGTGAATTTGTCTTCACATTACTACTTTTTTTGGACATACGTGTTTTCGGCGATCGGAAAACTGGCCGTGTCATTAAGTTGGTCGCTTCCCTCCGTGAGAGGAAAATGCCAGAAAATGTTCAGAATTACAACTCGATGAAATGCGGTGTTGAAGCCTGGTATGAAAGTTGACATTTTTTATGCTGTTTAATTGTATCGTTTTAGGTTCGCACATTATTTTCATATTGCACAAATGAGTCCAGTATTGATTCATCATGAGTCGAGGTTGCAAGGCTGCAGTATAATTTTGAGTGGAAAGATTTTATGATTGCACATTTTAGTTCCGGAATATGAGTACCAGCTGCATTGCTATGGTTCGTCAAACTGGCTGAAAAATTGTTACGTGTATTTTGCGATTTACAAGACGCATAATGCCTGTCTTAGTATTTCAAGATGGTTTGTTAAATGTGTTTCTTTTACCATGCGTTTTGTGCATCACTCTGCATGTCACATAATTAATGCTTTTGCATCTTGGATGTTCATAAGATTTTCCATCAATGTTGCTTGTTTAATATCTTTGACAAATTCAACTTTTTTATAGAAAATTTCTGGAGCTTTTGATCATGTGCCATAAACTCCAGGATTTATTTGAGATTTTGAGAGGATATATTTTAATTCATATTATAAAATGTATTTTCTTCTAGGTAACTAAAATTAATCATCATGGATGTCTTGAACAAACTTTGTTCTACTGTTAGTAGCACAGTATCACAGCTGTCAAGCGTTCTACCAGGAAACCCAGTGACTCGAGAATTTGAAGCCACCTGTCATATTGCCAGTGCTGGTCCAGGTAATCTCTTTATGCCTACCAATATTAGTTATGTTAATGTTCTTATGTGTTGCTTCTTCTGATTTCTAACCAAAATTGTTGAATTTATGAATAAATTACTGCTCAGTCATTATAGTGACTAGGCTAAAGGCTGGTCTAATGGAGTTAGTTTTTTGGCAGAGGCTGAGATTTATATCTTTGCCACCATGTCCACACCAGCACTTCTGTCCTCTTATCCGGTATGTACCAAGGAAAGTTTCCTGGGATTTTAACCTATTTTATTTGAATTTTACATACATTCACACATGTTGAAATGGTCTAATTAACTTCACAGAAGAGAATTCTTGGGAAGCTATTAGTTGCCCAGATAATTAAGAAATATCTTGCTTTGTAGAGAACATGAATGTTCATTACTGTGAATACAAGAACTCACCACTGGATCTTATCTTGAGCCAGTTAAATGCAGTCCATGCCTTCTCACCTAGTTTCTTTGGGATCCATTTTAATAATATTTTCCCATCTGTATCTAGGCCTCCCAACTGAAATATTGAATTTCTTTTGCATCTTCTTCAGGTTTGCAGTATGTCCACCTTACCTTGATTATTTTAATACTGTTTGATGAAGAATACAATTTATGAATAATCAGTATTAATACTAACCATCTACACAGTAAAAGTCATGTGGATGATTAATGAGGTTAAATACTGAATACTA